GTGTGTGTGTGTGTGTGTATTTATATATATACATACATATATATATATATATATTTATGTACATATGTATATATATATAAATTGTGTTGGAGGATGATCGCGATATACGTGCTTTCTACGAGTGGGCATGAAGTGCCGGTGTAATCGGTAGCAGACACGATTAAGACGTCAATGTTGTGCGCAGCGCAAACAATATTTTTCCTATGACATAGAAGGATGTGTGCACAACACAGGGTATTATATATGTTCTATGCCTAATAAATGCATCAATCTACATATTCACCCCTTACGGGGGGTGGGGGCTTGGGTACATATATACTGACATCATATAGGATTCGAGTCATCGCCAGTCTACGTAATACGAACAATGGTATATGTATTTCAAACAAGGATGTGTAAAACACATATAGCAATGTGTTATTATGAAATTGCTTAAAATTTTATAAATTTATGTATGTATATGTATCTTGCCCACTCCACAGGAGTCAAGATGGTCATCTGCGCTCTTCATACGGGCGGACAAGGAGTACCGGTAATAGCATCGGCAACACACACCAAGAACATGGCAACAACATACGTAACACTACAGGGAAGGCGCCCTTCAATCCACAGAATCTGCAACAGCATTTGCAGCTCATAGAAGATGAACAGAAGCACAGTCAACCCAACAGTGAAGGAGTACAACACCCGAACATTGCCGGTGGGAATGGCCTGCAAAATGGCAGTAACCCTCAGCTCAACATGCAACAACACAGCAGTATGAGCACACTACAACAACCAAATCACCAGATGTCCCCAATGCACGGGAGTGTTCCAAAGTCTGGGTATGTACAATGTATGTTTGCGAGTAAGTAAATACGAGTAAGGCTACTTTATCTCTATATATATATATATTATATTATATATATATATATATTATATATATATATATATATATATATATAGTATATAGTATATATATATATATATAATATATATATACGTATATATATATGTGTGTGTGGTGTGTGGTGTGTGGTGTGTG